TCTACTCCCAGTAGAAGCGGAGATATCGACGGAGAAAGGTTGGAAAACTTTAACCTTCGATATCTCCTAAACGGTTAGAGATACAGGCTTCGGACAGGTACCAAATTAAAGCCCTTTCAAAACCCTACATTTTGCACTACATGGACGACTCTCTACTCCCAGTAGAAGCGGAGATATCGACGGAGAAATGTTGGAAAACTTTAACCTTCGATATCTCCTTAACGGTTAGAGATACAGGCTTCGGACAGGTACCAAATTAAAGCCCTTTCAAAACCCTACATTTTGGACTACATGGACGACTCTCTACTCCCAGTAGAAGCGGAGATATCGACGGATGAAGACTGGATATCGACGGAGAAAGGTTGGAAAACTTTAACCTTCGATATCTCCTAAACGGTTAGAGATACAGGCTTCGGACAGGTACCAAATTAAAGCCTTTCAAAACCCTACATTTTGCACTACATGGACGACTCTCTACTCCCAGTAGAAGCGGAGATATCGACGGATGAAGACTGGATATCGACGGAGAAAGGTTGGAAAACTTTAACCTTCGATATCTCCTAAACGGTTAGAGATACAGGCTTCGGACAGGTACCAAATTAAAGCCCTTTCAAAACCCTACATTTTGCACTACATGGACGACTCTCTACTCCCAGTAGAAGCGGAGATATCGCCGGAGAAAGGTTGGAAAACTTTAACCTTCGATATCTCCTAAACGGATAGAGATACAGGCTTCGGACAGGTACCAAATTAAAGCCCTTTCAAAACCCTACATTTTGCACTACATAGACGACTCTCTACTCCCAGTAGAAGCGGAGATATCGACGGAGAAAGGTTGGAAAACTTTAACCTTCGATATCTCCTAAACGGTTAGAGATACAGGCTTCGGACAGGTACCAAATTAAAGCCCTTTCAAAACACTACATTTTGTACTACATGTACGATTCTCTACTCCCAGTAGAAGCGGAGATATCGACGGAGAAAGGTTGGAAAACTTTAACCTTCGTTATCTCCTAAACGGTTAGAGATACAGGCTTCGGACAGGTGCCAAATTAAAGCCCTTTCAAAACCCTACATTTTGGACTACATGGACGACTCTCTACTCCCAGTAGAAGCGGAGATATCGACGGATGAAGGATGGATATCGACGGAGAAAGTTTGGAAAACTTTAACCTTCGATATCTCCTAAACGGTTAGAGATACAGGCTTCGGACAGGTACCAAATTAAAGCCCTTTCAAAACCCTACATTTTGCACTACATGGACGACTCTCTACTCCCAGTAGAAGCGGAGATATCGACGGAGAAATGTTGGAAAACTTTAACCTTCGATATCTCCTAAACGGTTAGAGATACAGGCTTCGGACAGGTACCAAATTAAAGCCCTTTCAAAACCCTACATTTTGGACTACATGAACGACCCTCTACTCCCAGTAGAAGCGGAGATATCGACGGATAAAGGCTGGATATCGACGGAGAAAGGTTGGAAAACTTTAACCTTCGATATCTCCTAAACGGTTAGAGATACAGGCTTCGGACAGGTACCAAATTAAAGCCCTTTCAAAACCCTACATTTTGCACTACATAGACGACTCTCTACTCCCAGTAGAAGCGGAGATATCGACGGAGAGAGGTTGGAAAACTTTAACCTTCGATATCTCCTAAACGGTTAGAGATACAGGCTTCGGACAGGTACCAAATTAAAGCCCTTTCAAAACCCTACATTTTGGACTACATGAACGACTCTCTACTCCCAGTAGAAGCGGAGATATCGACGGATGAAGACTGGATATCGACGGAGAAAGGTTGGAAAACTTTAACCTTCGATATCTCCTAAACGGTTAGAGATACAGGCTTCGGACAGGTACCAAATTAAAGCCCTTTCAAAACCCTACATTTTGCACTACATGGACGACTCTATACTCCCAGTAGAAGCGGAGATATCGACGGAGAAAGGTTGGAAAACTTTAACCTTCGATATCTCCTAAACGGTTAGAGATACAGGCTTCGGACAGGTACCAAATTAAAGCCCTTTCAAAACCCTACATTTTGCACTACATGGACGACTCTCTACTCCCAGTAGAAGCGGTGATATCGACGGAGAAAGGTTGGAAAACTTTAACCTTCGATATCTCCTAAACGGTTAGAGATACAGGCTTCGGACAGGTACCAAATTAAAGCCCTTTCAAAACCCTACATTTTGCACTACATGGACGACTCTCTACTCCCAGTAGAAGCGGAGATATCGACGGATGAAGACTGGATATCGACGGAGAAAGGTTGGAAAACTTTAACCTTCGATATCTCCTAAACGGTTAGAGATACAGGCTTCGGACAGGTACCAAATTAAAGCCCTTTCAAAACCCTACATTTTGGACTACATGGACATCCCTCTACTCCCAGTAGAAGCGGAGATATCGACGGATGAAGGCTGGATATCGACGGAGAAAGGTTGGAAAACTTTAACCTTCGATATCTCCTAAACGGTTAGAGATACAGGCTTCGGACAGGTACCAAATTAAAGCCCTTTCAAAACACTACATTTTGCACTACATGTACGACTCTCTACTCCCAGTAGAAGCGGAGATATCGACGGAGAAAGGTTGGAAAACTTTAACCTTCGATATCTCCTAAACGGTTAGAGATACAGGCTTCGGACAGGTGCCAAATTAAAGCCCTTTCAAAACCCTACATTTTGGACTACATGGACGACCTTCTACTCCCAGTAGAAGCGGAGATATCGACGGAGAAAGGTTGGAAAACTTTAACCTTCGATATCTCCTAAACGGTTAGAGATACAGGCTTCGGACAGGTACCAAATTAAAGCCCTTTCAAAACCCTACATTTTGCACTACATAGACGACTCTCTACTCCCAGTAGAAGCGGAGATATCGACGGATGAAGACTGGATATCGACGGAGAAAGGTTGAAAAACTTTAACCTTCGATATCTCCTAAACGGTTAGAGATACAGGCTTCGGACAGGTACCAAATTAAAGCCCTTTCAAAACCCTACATTTTGTACTACATGGACGACCCTCTACTCCCAGTAGAAGCGGAGATATCGACGGATGAAGGATGGATATCGACGCAGAAAGGTTGGAAAACTTTAACCTTCGATATCTCCTAAACGGTTAGAGATACAGGCTTCGGACAGGTACCAAATTAAAGCCCTTTCAAAACCCTACATTTTGCACTACATGGACGACTCTCTACTCCCAGTAGAAGCAGAGATATCGACGGAGAAAGGTTGGAAAACTTTAACCTTCGATATCTCCTAAACGGTTAGAGATACAGGCTTCGGACCGGTACCAAATTAAAGCCCTTTCAAAACCCTACATTTTGGACTACATGCACGACACTCTACTCCCAGTAGAAGCGGAGATATCGACGGATGAAGACTGGATATCGACGGAGAAAGGTTGGAAAACTTTAATCTTCGATATCTCCTAAACGGTTAGAGATACAGGCTTCGGACAGGTACCAAATTAAAGCCCTTTCAAAACCCTACATTTTGGACTACATGGACGTCCCTCTACTCCCAGTAGAAGCGGAGATATCGACGGATGAAGGCTGGATATCGACGGAGAAAGGTTGGAAAACTTTAACCTTCGATATCTCCTAAACGGTTAGAGATACAGGCCTGGTTCTGGCACCAAATTAAAGTCCTCTCAAAACCCTACATTTTGCCGTAAGTGACGACTCTCTACTCGCAGTAGAAGCGGAGATATCAACGGAGAAAGCTTGGAAAACTTTAACCTTCGATATCTCCTAAACGGTTAGAGATACAGGCCTGGTTCTGGCACCAAATTAAAGTCCTCTCAAAACCCTACATTTTGCCGTAAGTGACGACTCTCTACTCCCAGTAGAAGCGGAGATATCGACGGAGAAAGGTTGGAAAACTTTAACCTTCGATATCTCCTAAACGGTTAGAGATACAGGCCTGGTTCTGGCACCAAATTAAAGTCCTCTCAAAACCCTACATTTTGCCGTAAGTGACGACTCTCTACTCCCAGTAGAAGCGGAGATATCAACGGAGAAAGCTTGGAAAACTTTAACCTTCGATATCTCCTAAACGGTTAGAGATACAGGCCTGGTTCTGGCACCAAATTAAAGTCCTCTCAAAACCCTACATTTTGCCGTAAGTGACGACTCTCTACTCCCAGTAGAAGCGGAGATATCGACGGAGAAATCTTGGAAAACTTTAACCTTCGATATCTCCTAAACGGTTAGAGATACAGGCCTGGTTCTGGCACCAAATTAAAGTCCTCTCAAAACCCTACATTTTGCCGTAAGTGACGACTCTCTACTCCCAGTAGAAGCGGAGATATCGACGCAGAAAGCTTGGAAAACTTTAACCTTCGATATCTCCTAAACGGTTAGAGATACAGGCCTGGTTCTGGCACCAAATTAAAGTCCTCTCAAAACCCTACATTTTGCCGTAAGTGACGACTCTCTACTCCCAGTAGAAGCGGAGATATCAACGGAGAAAGCTTGGAAAACTTTAACCTTCGATATCTCCTAAACGGTTAGAGATACAGGCCTGGTTCTGGCACCAAATTAAAGTCCTCTCAAAACCTTACATTTTGCCGTAAGTGACGACTCTCTACTCCCAGTAGAAGCGGAGATATCAACCGAGAAAGCTTGGAAAACTTTAACCTTCGATATCTCCTAAACGGTTAGAGATACAGGCCTGGTTCTGGCACCAAATTAAAGTACTCTCAAAACCCTTACATTGAAACCACGTTCAATTATAACGTCTGGTCTAATATATGTAGCTACTTGTAAAAAATGGTTCTACTAGATCGATAAAATATGGATCGAATCTCGGATAAAATTAATGGAAGGCAGTAAATCATGGTTTTAATCTGGGCTAAAAAGCTGATTTTAGCCAAACCAACAACTTGTTGAATTTTGTCATTTCACGATCGAGAAGTGGTGCTTTAATTTATATTGTATTATCATGTTCTTTTTGTTTTCCCCTTTTTTATATCGTTATTTGTGAATATTTATTCGCATATCCTAACTCAGTTACCGTACGACCTTAATGCAGTTAAAAGGAACAAACTTATTAAAGTATTTGTATTAACAGCGCAGTTCTCATCAGCGCGTATCACGTACAAGAGAAACGATTCAGTGAACTTGTTGCTTTCCAATTTTAGACAGGCATATCGCGTAATCAGTTGCCGCGTCATTCGAAAAATGCGGCAGAAAGTGAGCCTGATTTGTCTTTCCAGTCCGTGACTTTTTCCGCGTTCAAAGTGCAACAACGCATCGGCATCGAGCAGCGTGACTATTGATGTTGTGATAAAACCGATATATTATCTAATTACGAGATAGACAATGGATACATTAATTGTGCACTATGATCGTTTTGAAAAGAGGATAATGCAAAATGTCGAACGCAACGGCCTGCGACATCGGTATGCAGATGATGTTTTATGTTCTTTCAATGGCGAGATAATTTTTAAACACGAGTTTTATAGCAATATAGCGTGATTTCTACGTTTTATTACATTTTATTACGAAATTTTATAACGAGCATATATATTACACATGCTGTTACATGCATCGTAGAGATGTAATCAGACGCAATACTTGGGCAAGTCCGAGGTTATGAGTCATGTGTATTACATCTTGTTTATAGGCCTAAAGCAAATACTGGATTATGGCTGGGAACCTTGGTTGGCCTGAGCGCAGCAGTCACGTTGTTGAAGGAGGAAAACAGTTATTCTGAGATATGTCTTTTTGTAGGAACTATTGGTTTCAGCCTTGTTCTCTGCTCTTTCTGTCTTTACATACGACTTTCCATGCAACATGTCACAGCCAAAGACTTTCATGCTATATACTTTTTACCAGCAATTGTAACTTCCATACATCTACTTGCAGCTAACAGAGGTATGGCAATCCGTAGATTGTCTCTGGATAATTTTTTTACTCTTCCGGAGTATTCTTTTTTTTGCCTATTAGGAATATAGATAGCATGCAATTAATATATGAGATTTAGTAATGATATGCATCTGGTTCTGATTATATTTTTATATTGATTAAACAAGAACAGGATTATTAATGAGTGTCACATGGGGCCTAACTGTGGGGAGTTTAGGCACATGGGGTGTCCTGCAACTAATGTCAGCTTTTCCATACTGCTTCACAATGGGAGAAGCAACAGCGATTATGCATAGTTTTATTTTGTTTTTGATGTCGGCTGTTACCAACTTACCCCTGCGATATCATTTGCCTCCGATTCATGATAATGACATCAGCACAGCTTTGTTGCAGGTATTAAAGCTCAAGAATTACTTGCCATGATATAGCTTACCTTTTACATTGCCCTAACACATTATTACAGGTTGGAATATTGTATGTAGTTTCGGTATGTCTCCTGTGTGGATATTTTCCTGTCCTGCATAGCACAAAATACTTTTACTTAATGACAGTCAGCCTCCTGTGTTTTATAACTCTTCCAATACTTTATATTATTCTCGATCAGAATCCAATAATGTGGATAATTTCTTTTGCTTTTAGCAGTCACAAGAGGGTAAGTAACAATATTGTACTTTATTACTTAATTTATGATACTAATTAAAACATTTATTGATACAAACAAATTGATATAATATAAGAAATGCTTTGTTGTTCATTTTATTTCTTTACATTTTGAACATTGCAGGTTTTGTTAGTGATATACTGGGTGATATGTGTTTTGCTAAGTATTTTCATTATAATCTACCAAATCTTGTCAAAATCCCAAGCTGCAAGTTCGACCAGAAAAATTTTTCATATCTTGACCATATTTATATTTATCCCTGGTATGATATATGATACTTCAATGTTGTATCTTGCCAGTGGTGTGATTTTCGCACTATTTGTCGTTCTCGAGGTATATATGTATTCTTATTGTCTGTCATTTACAAATTTTATTTTTGTCCCCGAAACAATAATTGTCAACGAATTTTAGGTAATTAGATTGTTGAAAGTACCACCTCTGGGAAAAGCTTTACAAGATGGATTCGTTGTATTCGTCGATGAAAAGGACTCCTTAATTTCCTTAACAGCCTTGTATCTAATGTGTGGTGTATCGTTTCCACTTTGGATGCCGACCAGTAACCTGACAATGCTGGCATTAATGAGCGGCGTATTAACAGTAGGGGTTGGCGATACCGCTGCAAGTTTCATTGGCAGCAAATTGGGTTCGCACAAGTGGATGGATACGGATAAAACTATCGAGGGCACCGTCGCATGTGTGTTTTCTCAAGTTTGCGTAATACTCGCTCTAGCTTGCTATGGTATATTTCTTTTCATACATCTTTTACTACCATCTTTTCCTCCTGCTGATAAGACTCTTAATTATTTTTGTTTATCTGTATTTTACCAGGTTTCATCGATAGCTATTGGCTATTGCTCCGAAGTATATTGGCGGCTGTAGCAATTTCGTTGATTGAGGCACGCACGAATCAGGTCGACAATTTGGCTCTACCATTGTTGATGTACGTGTGTTTAATGATATAAGCGTGTATATCACTTTTCTTCCAAGTTCAATAATTTAATGTAGTTTTTAAGGAAAGCGTGGCAATCATATTGCAGTCATTTTTTCTTTAGTTGAATTATGAATCGCCTTCTGTGTTGGAGGAGAAAAGCGCAAGTAATTTTTTGTAGAATTTAATATTCTTTAGCACGTTGTTAGAAAGCATACCGTGAACATTACATTTTGACTGATATATACGCATATACGCACAATCATATAACATTCATCAAGATACCGTTCTGCGCACAGAGACAATCGCAATTGAATATTATGGGTTAATAGCGCGAGTGATTTTAGCGATATTGTTAATTTTGGTGTTGGTTGTTAAGTGTCGTGATTTGGTTGATTGGCATTATATCCATAGGAGGAAGGAACAAACGAGAACGTAGTCATGATTGTGATTAAGTTAAGTGTTGATAATGTACAAATGTCCATACATACGAAAGTCGAGCGTGTTTTGTATATATATCGGGGTAACGTGTAACTTATATATTTATCCAAAGATTTGGGCCGCACAATGCGCAGAGAACCGCATTATATTAGATACTATCGACCTAAGCATGAACACGCGAGTCGATGAAGACGAATGTTGAATGTTGCATTTAAGCTTCACTAACATATACTTACTTTTTTTATATCTGTGAGACACCGATTATGTGCCTGACGTTTCGCCCATTCCCGACGAAGCATTCTTCTACGCTAGCTTTGAGAATTTTCTGATAAAGTTGTCGAATAACGAATAAAGTATTTTTTTAATTATTTAAACGTTAGATTTTTTCTTACGCTAGATTTTCTCCTCTCTCTCTCTCTCTCTCTCTCTCTCTCTCTCTCTCTCTCTCTCTCTCTCTCTCTCTCTCTCTCGTTATGAAGAACGACTACGTGTTAGTCAGATGCATGAAGGTCGCAATTTCCCAAGGAATCCTACCTACGAAGAAGTCCCTACGATAGTTGGAAGCGAAAATTTCGGCGGTCGTATCAAACCGTGCTCTGCAGTCCGCTCGTCGCTAATTGGGCGAGGTCAGTGTCAGCCGTTTGTCTACGCTAATTGGAGGCGGAAAGAAGAAGGTCCAACAACATTGTCGCTTGCACCGCGCGGTTCTCAATACTTTCAGCACGCGGCATCAGAGCGGCGGACGAGGTCGCTCGGTCACTCGGTATCGTTCGCTTTTGCTTGAAAAATTCCGCAATTCGTATCTCGACAACGCGCAAAGCCACGACGGTGCGAGCTTCACGAAAACGAGTTTTATCTCGCTTCTGGATTATATCCCGCCTACGGCCACTTGACTGTCATGCACCTTGAAGGGCTCCATTTTTTCATCGATCTATTATGAGCTTCTCTATTAATATCTCGGCGACGAGCAGAGGAACGACGCTGCGATTTCCACGAAGAAAAATTAGCTGCTTCTAAGCTGTAAATTACGTCCTGCTGACAGCCGAATCAGTACAGACCGTCTCGAAACGCAACATTCTTTTGTCGGTGGGAGTATAATCACTTATGGCGAGAGATTTATTTCAGCGTTTTATTGACCACACAGCCTTAAAATCTGCTCACGCACAGCATTTCCTCGTACGCCGCCGCATCCTTTAGCCTAATAATATAATGCTTACGAATGCTTAAAAAACACCGGTACTTTATTAACTCGATGTAACACAAAAGTATGACCTTGCACTGTGTGTATGTATGTATAATGTGCCGAAATTATCATATACAGGCACCGGCAGGCGGCCATAATACACGTTATAACAGCGTTAAATTAATAATAATAATAATAATAATAATAATATTGAATTAACTACGTTATAATGTTGAATCAAATTGCTGTCGTTGCATGGTAACTTGTCAATGACTTGAAAATACTGTCGGGCAACACTGTCCTCCTAGTGATCAACACGGCGCCGAAATTTGTCAGAGTCCTCTCTTCGACCTAATTGCAAGCTGACTCGTCGTCCAGCCAGGTAAGAGCCCGTCCTCGTGATCCTCGCAGAACAATATATGTGGCTACAGTCTTTGAAAAATTAGAGTATCTTTATTGTAACGTACAGTTTGTTATCACTTATCACTTATCAGAACGGAAAGAAACGTACGAGAAGATACTACCAGAAGGTCTCGAGCAAATGAAGTAAACGAATTAATAACAAGAACGATGGTTTTCGAGCATTTCGTGTCGACGATCGTTATGTTACAGCGTTGTCTGCGGATCTCGGGTAATCCTCTTCGTTAATCCCCCAAAATGCTGGGAGGGGATCATCATCTACCTCGATGTCCGTATTCACCCCGGCAATCCTGTCGCAGTCTTGTCCAGAATCCACGAGCACGACAGACGGATGTACGTTGTAATGTATCGCTACGTGCTACTTATTATTATAGTCGTTTCTTACGTGTATATGTATATATGTATAGGTAATTGTATTTGTAATTGTGTATAGCAATTAAATAAATATCCTGAAATTCTCGATCGTGTAATTGCCGTTTGTTCTTTTTTTTTTCTTTTTTTTTTTTCTTTTTTCTTCAGTGGGTCGCCGCGTGTAGGACGGCGACGCGTGTCGTGTCCGCTATCTTAAACGTACGTAAAACTTATTCGGTGTATATCTCTTGAGTCTTCGTGTGATATATTGCGACTTTTTCTGTCATACTTTCGGTCACGCAATCCGATTACGTTCTTCACGTGCGCCGTCCGCTTCTCGCAAATCTCGTCCTCGCGAGGATCGCAGTCCTGCGCCTGCATGGTGTTTCACGCGTGATCATCTTCCCGCGCGATCATCTTCCCGCGCGCGCATCGCGGTCCCCTCGCGCCTCGTCCTTTCTCGTTACGAAGTTACGGACGATGGGAGGATGTAGCGTACAGTCTGAGACTCATTCAATCTACGTGGACATTCGTTTATCGTTGTTTGCGCGCGCGAACATCTCAGTTGAATGACGCGATACAAATTTCAGGGTGCAGGGTCGCAGGGTGCAGGAATTTCGCCGCATCAGATTTTGATGTTGTTTGCCGCTTCTAAAGTATTCCCTCAGTCAGCAATAAGAAAAGATTATCAACATGATGCTCTAGCCGAACCGATCGGCTTTTGTTGCGCGTCTCCAAGTCGACTCCTCGCCGAATAATGGCCCTTGGAACTTTCTGCGCATTTAGCAGTAGCGATCGTCAGCGCTAGGTGGCGCTCTGGATATCGCGCGAGCGGGCAACGGGTGAAGGACCGCGCGCGGTCCGGAGGCCAGCTGGAGGTGGCCTCGGGAGTGGGGGCAAGGCCGTACTCCACTCACCCCAGTGTTTCTGTTTACTCGCGCGGTCGCGTGAACTTGGTGGCAGTCACGTGCGGGCGACGCCGCGCGGCGTCGAGTTAAAGCACCGACCGAGCCGACCGAGAGCGCCGTTTTGCGGTTTTCGATACGGACGCCGATTTTGCCGTTCCTGGGCGTCGCAGCGAGCTCAGATCGGAATCATCGTAAAGCTGAGACTCGCACGCCGCGTTCCTCGTGGGCATACGGCCGTATTCTACTCCCCCGAAACAAGGATCGATCAACGACGGATTGTCGCGATGAGAAGTACCGGTGGTTTTTAAGTCGAGATTAACGAGTTAACGTTAACACTGGAAAGCGAAACGGTCTCGACGGTTTTTCCGTGTTTTCTCCGTGTAGTAATCCGTGCAGTTGTGAATTACTGCTACAGTTGAGAATCACTACTGAACCAAACTGCGCGAACTAAAAAAATCGCTGGTCTCTCTAACCCCCTCAATTATCCTTAAGTACTGATTCTCAAATTTCACAACTAGACTAGTTATTAATGTTTGCAAAGAGAGAAAGCTGTCGAAATCATTTTGTTTTTCAGTGTACACGTTGCATCAAACATCGCCGGTGTGTCAGCTGTTTCTTCTCCGACCGATATAAAGCGCAACAGAAGAGAGGAAACGGGCGGTAACGAGGATCGTCCAACTGTAGAAATTTCCGCCAAATTTGCCTCGTGAAATTCTATAGAAAGTAAACGATATTGAAAAGATGCTGCAAATATGTGTGTACGTTGTAAGCATCTCGAATGTGCGATTACGGACCTATATTTATTAGAACTTGCCACCGCCAGTTGAAACAATCCTCAACTTTTCTTATTGCTCAAAACAATTATTCTATCGTAATTGAAACTGTTCGTTCGCTGTCTTGTAAGCTCCATCGAGTGGCTTGCTCTTCGTCTAGAGTTTTGAAACGCACCCTGCGTGAGAGGAATGGAATGCTGTACTCATATTTACACGTCTGATCGTGAGACAAAATTTTCCTTGTCCCGCAGTTTGGGCGAGTCTCGCACTGTGGAGAGCGGTGGATTGCGATAAAAAAATAAGCATTCGTTAATTATGCGTTGCTGATTATTGACTTTCACGTTGTCGAAACGAATGTCACGCGCTGTCTCGCGATCCGCAATCCGATTTGGACGTTCATCGGTCTTCGTCGGCACAGTAGCATCAGCGAGAAGGGTCAGGGTGCAACGCGAGAAGCATGCCGACGGTAGCGTTACGATAAAAGGACAAAAGTTAATTTGTAACGTTTTTTTGCGATTTGCGGTCTGTTCGAAGTTGCCTATATCAAATCGAGGCGAGCGCGGATGGAGTGTATCTCGTGCCCCCCTCCCTCCCCCCCTTCTCCAACCATCATACTTGCGACGCACATACGATACGTGCCGCTCGCGTTACGCGCGTAACGTTATATCGCGCGTCGATCCGATCTCGTTTCTCACCGATTACGTAAGAATCAAGTAAACTCGCCGCCTTTCACGTCTACTACATATGTACAATCGCGATGCGGGTCGAGATTAGAACTCGTAGTCCAGCTACTCTTAAAAACGACAGCACACACCCTTCGTTCATTGCGATAATCGCGGGACAATTATCGACGGAACCACGCGGCTTCTTCCCTTCCGGCGTATTATTCCCTTTGCGACGCGTCGCAATCGCGGATTCGATTCTGCAATTCTCTAAGTCTTAATGCGTTAGTATATTACACACGATGTAAACGGATACTTGAAACTTGAAGATAGTGTCGCGTTTAGTGTTAGATAGACGTAGACGAAGATACGAGTCTTGAACTTTCGGTCTCTCCGTGACGACGACGACGACGACGACGACGACGACGACGACGCATTGCACTTGCTCGCTCGCGACTCGCATTCAACGACGCATTCAATTCATCAGCTCGTCGCAATTCCCACATTGTGTGTCGCTAAACTAAGTGGCGTAACTATTACACATGAAGCGCAGCAAAGCGATGCTCGAGTGTCTCCGACGCTTACGGGGGCCTGAAGGGAATCCAATGAGTGAAAAAAAGAAGATTTCACAGAGTATAAAATTTATAAACCTTAGGAAAATATAAACCTTCTCACGTGAATGTCTCAGTCAGACGTGAACGTTTGCGTACGTTAAACTTGCCCTTATTTTGCCCTCCTTCGGTGTCCTCCTCTTTCTTTCTTTCTCTTTCCTTTTGCATTAATTGCCACTGAGGCGGCGGAAGAGGGAACGGGCTTCCTCGAGCCCGTTCCCGAGAGAATCGAGAGAAACAACGAAAGCTCATAGTTACGCCACTGCCACAATAATACGCACGCCTCTCGACGAGAGCTCGCCCGGCGCTGGCGAGCGCGATCAATCATACGAATGAAACGAAGCGGATTCGGCCGGACGCCGATGCCGGATTCCAAGCGAATCCCGACGCGAATCCTGAGGCGGTTCGCCTCACTTCCGTCTCACGAGTATGACGCGACGCCTAACAATCGGAAAGCCGGTCGCTTCTCGCACGCAATTCCGAAACTCCTCGTCCGTGGTCTCGTTACGTCAGCTGGTCGGGAATCTTAACGACTATATTTATATCCTAAAGCATCTTGCAAGCTGTCACACACCGCAATCGCTCGTCATTACGTCCCCCTTTGATCAGCCTCGCTCGCCGCTCGCGGCCGCGCATCGGTCGACTCATCGACGACGGCCGATCCGTTTACCGTTTTCTCGGAACGATGCTCGCTTCAAGTCTCATTCGGACTGAACGTAAGATTCACGAGTAACTCAACGCCGATCCTAGCGCCGATGAATCTCGCCCTCAATCTCCCGCCGCACGGTGACAGCGATCATGGGTGGACGAGCCGTTCGCTTCAAAGCCTAATATACACCGAGTATTAGGTTTACAAAACAGACGCCCTACCTCGTCGTAGGGTTTCAAGGGTCGGATCGGTGGTTTCACAGCAGAGAACGATATGGGGATTTAGGGAAATCAGAGACGGGGCTCGGGCTGATACGATAGGGCCAGAGTGAGTGAGAGAGAGAGAGAGAGAGAGAGAGGAGGGGAGAGGAGGAGAGAAAGAGGGTGAATGAGTGAGTGAGTGAGTGAGTGAGTGAGTGACAGGGAGAGACTGGTTACTCCCGCAATTTGTGCCAGTCGGCTATCTGTCGTCGCGGTGAGCTGCACACCTCCTTCCAATGGTTCACAGCGGAGCCTTGACACTTTGGTCCGCCGAACTCGAGTCGGCCAATCACCTGCAACAACGGGAGCGCGACGGTTAGCGCGCGAAGAGCGAGAGCTCTCGCTACTTCCGCTCGTCCCTCGTTTACCTCGTTCTTCGTGACTCGGTCCCAATCGAGAAGCATGAACTCCAGGCTGACGTTGTTGAGCCCGTCCGCGCCGTTCGGTATGTCGAAGACGAATGACTCGTTGAACACTGGGCTGAGCGTGCGTTTCTTCACGTGCGTCTTCTTCTTGGCGATGCGCTGCTGATTGTACAGAAGGTAGATCTTCACGTACGGATCTGCCAGCCCGGTCACGTCCATCTTCGGCAGGTTACGCGCTTTCAGCACCACCACCGTGAGCCGGCTGGTGACTGGCTGCCAGCACAGAGATACCAGCAACTCTCCTCTGCCTTGTGACTGGATCTGGAAGGAGGAGAAAGTGACGAAATGAGACGTTTATGATTATTATTTGGCGCGGAAGCGCCATCTCGTTGCAAAGCGTTTCTTTTTCTTTTCCCTAGTGTTGCCATCAGTGTTGATCTTGTATTAATTTTCGATCATCAAAACAAACGAGGATAATCGTGAAAGTAATCATGAAAAAATACAAAATTGCAGCGACACCGTACTTTGTCTCGCATAATAAGTATACTTTATCTCGGAACGTCAGAGATCGCGTCGCTCGCTCGGTTGTTGCGCTCACCTTCAGACTCCTGGGGCATATTTTCCGACAGAGAGATATCTCTTGATTGTCCGCGTCCTCCAGGCCGGGTACCGATGACAGGGCGCACGTCAGTTCACCGATGATGTCGTCGCGCGAGTATCTGTCGAAGCTCAGCACGATGAAGTGCAAGCTGATTTTCTGCAATTGCAATCATCGTGCATAAATCGCTGTCTTCTCCAAAGAGAGGGGGATAGATTAGATTAGCTTAGCGATATTGTTGAGATTAGAAATCGAGATGTATGATCCACCTGAAGCTGACTCTGCGATATGCCGAAGAACGTGAAATCCTCGTCGTACACCGGGTCCCTCGTGTTCCTCAGCACTCTGGTTTTCACGTGGTGCTGCTTATCGGGCAACAACTGCAGCTTCACGTAAGGGTCGCTGGTGGCATTCTGCTGGCCCCTGGCGGGCAGTCCCTTACACTTCACCACCGTGACGGCGAGCGCGTTCTGCTCGCTGCGGTAGCGCAGCTTGAACACCAGCTGGCCCAGGTTGTCCTTGTCGTTCTCGGCTGTCTGGCTCTTCTCGCGCTCCACCTTCTCGTTGTTCTCCAGCTCGGCCTTGTCGCGCTCGTTTTCTATGCTCACGGCCACCTCGACAGGTGGTGTTTGCACCGGTGTGCCTGTCGTCGTCGTGAGAACAATCGCTCGGTAAACTTGGCGAGAGGAAAGCAACGGGGAGAGAGAGAGAGAGAGAGAGAGAGAGAGAGAGAGAGAGAGAGAGAGGCAAGTGAGCGATTGGTCGTAATGTTGACGCGAAGGCATCAGCGTTGCTCTCGAGACCGAGACGGAAACAGAAACAAAACGTAAAAAGAGAGGAGGCACCATCCTTCCAAATGGTGCTCGCGAGGATGATCAACACATGTCGCAACATCACACACGACGACCAATTACGACGATGTTTACGAGCCATTACGATTAATCGTTCACTCGTCCGCTCGATCGGGTCGCGCACGTTACCTGCGCTCTGCGGCGTTCGGGGCTGCGACGTCGGGTTCGAGGACTGCGACCCCGTCGGGCTCGGCGTCTGGCCGCCGGAGCCAGGTGGACTCTTGGCCGGCCCTGTCGGCGACGGGCTCTTCTTCAAGTAGTGGCTCGTGCTACCGGGGCTCTTAACCGCCGTGGGCTTCCGGTGCGGCGGTCTGAACGCCAGGGACTTGTCGGAGCTTAGCTTGGTGTGCTCGCGACGTCGTCGGCAGAGCCACCAGGTCATCGCGACGGCGCAAAGTAGGAAAGCGGCGCCGATGCATAGCGTCACCAGCGTCGCCGTCGAGACTGAAATCACCGCCGCGCGTGTGTGCTTTTCAAGCTTTTCAAGCAGCAATTAGCTGGCACGGTGATTGCACGCGATCCGTCGTGACAGCGCCGCGACCCCAGGACGAATATTGGCGAGAGGATCGCCCCAAGAGAGCCGCCCCAGACACGAGAGGGATGAGAACGACGAGCATTTATGAGGGAGCTTGCTCCCTCGTTTTATGTTCGAGGAGAAGTAAAGAGAGATAGAGAGAGAGAGAGAGAGAGAGAGAGAGAAACAGATAGATAGATAAATAGATGGATGGATAGAGAAAGGGAGGGAGGAGGGAGAGACCCCCGTGCTCTTTTCGCCTGGTCGACGTCGACGTCGACGACGGTAAAAACTCGTCCTCCTCCAGGACGTCCGGAGCAAGTCCCGAATGCATCGCGTGACAGCGCGTACTCCGCTCGAGCTAATCGTCCCCCGACCACCATGCGGATTTGCATTTGCAGACGCGGCCCATGTCGATACCGATGGAATACGCGCGGTGCCCCGAGCTTCCCCGCGCTCTCCGCGCGTGGAAGGTGGAACTGCGCGTCGGGGATGACGCGGATGACGCGTCGCATTGTGTGTACGCGCGGCTGATCGAAGGCCGAGATCTGGCCGATTGCCGTGTACAATCGAACGAGATCGCGGCCCATGGTCGCGCGCTAGCTGACGAAGCAGCTCGTCGCGCGCGACGAGCAACCTCACGCGGTCATAGCCGACGGGGTCGGAGGTGTAACAGCTGTCGGACCTCCGTCCCGAGCGGTACCATCGCGGAGCGTTGCGTCGTGGGCGATCGTTCGGACGATCCCAGGCTCGAGTCGCGGGGTGAATCGTCGACGAGGCCACGTCGTCGTCGAAGAGGCGCCAGGTGGTGAAACAGATCGGCTCGCGTTACGGTTTCCGCGGTTTACGCTCGGCTTGGCCGCGAGAAGCGGACGCGGAGAGGCTGCTCACCAGGCTCGACGGGTCGAATCAGAGGTCCACCCTCCGTCACTCCGCTGACCATCTTCAGCTGCGCTGCTGTTGCTGTTGCTGTTGCTGTTGCTGTTGCTACCGCTGTTGCTACCGCTGCTGCTGCTGCTGCTGCTGCCACTGCCTGCTGTCGCTAAAAGGACGCTTTATTCGCGTAAGTCTGTCGGTCACGGCGCACTGAAGGAATATTTACGGGCGGCGTGCGGCCCGTCGTCCGCGGCACTCTACGCCGATCGTCTACGTCGGCCGAAACGCGCGCGGATCAATAGCCCGAGAAGCGGAGCTTGCGCGCAGAGGGTGACGCCGCCGCCGCCGTCGCCGTCACCGCCGCCGCCGTCGCCGCCGCCGCCGCCGCCACCGCGAGGAAGGCACCGCGATGACGACGACGAGAGAGAATGCGACAGCCCGCGAGATGAGATAGGGCGGTCCCGCGGGTGATCCCCGCTGCGCTCACGCGCGTATGTATGTATGTATGTATGTATGTATGTATGTATATATGTATGTGCGTTGCAATTTTTCTCAAAAGCTAGAGAACAAGAATTTCTCTCGATCGGGAAGGATGAATTTAATACGACTTGTCGCTCCCGGAAGCTCCGATCAATCGGCTTCACAGGACGGCGGCGAATATTTTTTTCTCGAACGATTCTTTACTCTGTTCTTGCCGAGAGAAATCGGCGTGAAAAATTGGCCCGCGGTATTCGAGGACGAATCGATTCGATCTCGGCCCGCGACGGACGGGATGAAGATGTATACACGGGGAAGCTGCGAAAAATAGCACGGCGGGATGAAAAGGGTTAAACTTGGACGTCGATTTTGTACGGTTATTTTTAGCCGATCTTTCCTCTTCCGACGTGACGTGATTGAACGTACCTGTGCATGTCTCCTGTGTGCGCGTCTCCGGACGTAATTTTGGACCGATTATTTTGGTGTTACCGTTGGATGAATGAATTATAAGGACCGTCCCCAGTCTGAATAGTAGCTGAAGTGTAGCAACACGCCGCACAGTGGGCCAGAATTCCAGAAAAGTGTCAAAAAATGCATTTTTCGACTGTTTCTAAATTTAAACAAATACATGTCTATTTGATAATATTAATGTCAAACTGATGAAATGTAACATGATTTTCCTCTTAGACATATATTAAGATCGCAAGATATTCAAAATAATTATTGCAATGTTGGTAGACACGCAATGTCCCGAAAAGTCAAAATATTGAAATTTGAAAACTAGGACTATTTATCGACAAGTCATAATATTAAATACGAATACTGAGACAAATTATCGATACATATACATATATATATATATATGTATGTACGTATATATATATAATAAAAGAAACAGATTTTTTAAACCTTTCGAATACGACTCACACTAACGACTGGTAGTACAAGAATTATGACAATCTCTTTAAGCCATGTAAAATCCTTATCCTTAAACTGTATTATATTTCTTTGAGAAGATTACTACCGCTCATTATATTCAAAAGCAAACTTGCAAGCATAACAATAATAATAATAATAATCATTATTATTATTATTATTACTATTATTATAATTATAATTCTATAATCATAATAAAATTAACGATATTCAATGATTAAATGATATTAATGACATGTATTTGTTTAAATCCAGAAACAGTCGAAAAACGTATTTTTTTACACTTTTCTGGAATTCTGGCCCACTGCGCGCCGTTGCTTGACAAATGAATGCTCCATTGATAAGTCGTTGCGATTATTAGTCGATACTTGGTGTTTCTCTTTATTACGCTCGAGCGTACAATTTACGCACACAAGGTAACACCGGGGTGGCGTTACACGTTTCTTTTAACGCGATACGAATCGCTACGGGGAAGGCAACGCTAATACGTAGTTTCAAGTTGCATCAGTAAATCGATACGGAAAAGGCTTTACTACCGGCGTACGTTTCTCGGGCAAAACCACGAAGAAACGTTAGATGAGCACGAACCGGCGTAATTACACACACGCTAGAGCTTTGCTTCGAATTATCGATCAATGAACGCTGAAGCCGGCGTTAAAGCGGAGAACTTGCCGGAGGGTTTTGTCTATGATTCACCTGCAACGAGGACACTGACATACCTACTTTTGCGACTCACTTTACGAACTACCGCGTAGCTCGCCGACGTGCGCGATAAAATAATCGGGATCAGCGTCGTGTGAAATGAAGATGAGGTGCAAGAGGAAAAAGGAGAGAGAGAGAGAGAGAGAGAGAGGAGAGATACCATCGGGGCAATTGATTTATGAAAAGAGCTCCCTCGTTGAATTATTCCGAGACCGGGAGGGGGGGGGCAGGAGTTTGCTAAGTATCATCCGTGCCACCTTTCGTTTATCGGCCCCGCCACCTGCGACACGACGATATTACGAGGTGCGGGCGAATCGTGCACGTCGATGCGGCCGAACGTTGAAATTTCCACGAACGTATGAACTTTACGACCGCGCGGCCGAATCGCGCTGGCCTATGACATCCGGCGGCCGGCGCGCGGACGTGACGTCGCGTCCTCGCCACGGCACGTTCGCATTTTAGATGCTACTTCGAAAACGTCGCTCGCGCAATGCTCGGGGAAATTTCAACGAGACGCGACGGACGTGCCGGACTACTCCCCCGCGTTGCTCCCGCGAATTCCCGCCAGCAGCTTTGTGCAATCGCATTAACGACTTTCTAATTCGTTTTCCGCGACAAGGGACGAATTTCTCATCGCCATCGATTTTCGACGCTTCGCCGGCGCGAAGCGGTGGATTGGAAGATGTGTACAGATCGGAACCTCTCCGCCAGTGCCGTCGTCTCGTGACGTCGGTCTGGCTGAGCAGTTTTTCCTGCGGTTGTCCTTCTGTTGCGTGTCAATCGCGAGCGGGAGTCAATCCGAGGTAGGAGAGAAAAAATTGCATCGCGTCAGGTCGACGAGGAATCTCGCGAGTGAAACTTGAAATTTCTCGCCTACGTCGCCCGTCGAGAGTGCCTGCGCGTTCGGGCTCGAGGACGGCCCTGCTCGCCGTGGCTTCCACGGCGACACGTCATTCGCCGTCTGCGCGAACCGGATGGTGCTATGGTACTAACGTCGCGTGCACCAGGCGTGTGTGTCCTCGTTCGCGGCCGGCTTTCACGAGCGGCTCGATATAGCGCGAGCGACTCGCTCGGATCGCGGAACGCTGCGGAAGGCCACGGCGACGTGGGACGCAAACGTCAGCAGCCGTCGTCGTCGGATCCCACTCGCGAATGGAGTGATCGAGGAAGTGCAGTCGTCGTCGTCGGCGTCGAGGAGACCGTAGACGCGTAGCGAGGTAAACAGGTCGCCACGGGATTAACAACATGGGCCTCAAGGACCTTCGTGTGGTGTTCGACAACCCGTGGAGCACCTATTATCCCGGGCAAACGATGACGGGCACCATCGTCGTGGTGTTGGACAGCACGAAGAAGATTCGCGGTGAGTTTGACAATTGGCGATAATTGCGAGCGATGCACGGATTGCGCGATGCGATGATGATGCCAACCCGGCGAGAACTCGGCGAGAAACTTCGACTTTCGTTCGTTGTGAATGCTTTGCTACTTTTTGCCGAGTGCTTCTCTTCGGTCGGTTAATTTCGGTCGCATTCCTGAAAAAGAAACGAAAGGAGGGCCGGTGGCCGTGGACGGAGATCGAGTCGCACTCGGCGTCGCCGCACCATGAGCTACCTTTTTCTACTGCTGTAACGCGAGAGACGTTATAATTATAGAACGCGTGTTGCACTCTTGCGCAAAAGTCCCGCCACCGCTGGTGGCGTGGGTGGTGGGCTTTGTCTCATCCCGGACATTGTTCGGTGCCGTTAAAATACACCGGCGGCGCAAAGAACAGCGTGAAGAATTGTTGCTAAAATCGCACGTCTGCGCTGTCGCGTCGCGTTTGATATTAACGATATTACGGGCAGACGCGAACGCTCGCGCGATGTGACGTGAATTAATAACAAGGCGAATTAACGGGGAGGTTAATCTCTCTCGCTCGGAGAGATGTTGATAAGAGACGGAGATATGCGAACGGGATCGGCGGAAGCGTGAGTAATTTCATCGCGGGCGCTGAACGAGCGATTAGAAAATCGAGAGTGATGAGTCAATCGAGATAGAGAGAGAGAGAGAGAGAGAGAGAGAGAGACGAGAGAAAGAGAAGACCGGTCGCGGCCGATTGCGTCAGCCGGCTATTTTGCTACGATATTTTCCAGCCGGTTCGTAACGCTGAGAATCTTCCTTCTCTCCGCAGGCATAAGCGTGAAGATAAAGGGCGAGGCGAATACTTGCTGGACCAATGACAAGCAGGAGATGGACGAGAGAGGACAATATCGGGATGAAAGTCAAACCGTCACCGCGCACGAGGAGTACTTTGAAACGAAGTACTATTTGGTCGGATCCGCCTCGGGTAACGTTAGATCCCCCCGTCCGGTTCTTCTTCTTCTTCTTCTTCTTCTTCTTCTTCTGCCTAACCTTCTTCTGCCTTTACCTTCTTCTGCCTAACCTTCTTCCGCCGCAGATTAATGGAGCTCAAAATCGCCCCTGTTAAGCGATTCAATAGCGGTCGTCAATAGTTGAAGTAAAAGAACAAAGGCAGAGAGATATTAACGATCTCTCCGTTCCGACGTATCTGCGTCTCTCGACGTCCTTCTCCGGAGATTCTTCTCCGTCGCGTTTTACCGGTTATATCGGAAATCTCCATTCCACGCGGTCATTACAATGTATTCTTCTCTTAGGCGGAGAGATAGAGATACAGTCCGGCGAGCACAAGTTTCCATTTGCTTGTTCCTTACCGGACAGCTTGCCGAGCAGCTTCGAGTCGGACTTTGGACACGTCCGCTACACCGTCAAAGCCACGCTGGATCGACCTTGGAAGTTCGACCAAGATGTCAAGAGTCCTTTCACAGTCATCTCGCCTTTGGACTTGAACACGGAACCGCGAGCAGTGGTTGGTATCCGAATCGGAACACGGTTTAAAGTGACTTTAATTTAAACACACTAAATCAGGACTTAAGTAAGAGACACTTGATCTTCCTCTGTATCTTCTATACCCAGGAAGCTCCTCCGCGTTGTTAACTCCGTCCTCGGAGAGGCCTCGTGCAAAAAAAGAAAGAAATTACCGAAATTAGCACACTGATTATCAAGAAATGCAATTTCAACGGTCTTTTCATCAGGAACCCGTTCAGGCAGAGATGAGCAAGACGTTCTGGTGCTTGTGTTGCGCCACGCCAGCGTTGACCGTAAACTTCTCGCTGCCGGTTCGCGGCTACGTGCCTGGGCAGTCCATGCCGGTGAAGATAAATGTGGAGAATCGGTCGAGCGTCGTCGTGAACACCGTGAAATTGGTGCTGGTCAAGGTACGTAACGTCAGTGTCGCAACGCAGGTGGAACTCAAGTTGAGACTCAAGTCGCCGCTCAGGCACACCACCCGAGACTTGCTGACACTTGCCGACGGTGTCTCAAGCCACCGAGCCACTCCTCACTCTGAGAAGTAATAACGAGTCGTAAAAAAAGTTTAGGTCGTGACCTTTCGCGCTACCACGCCGCACTCGGACAGCCGAACGGAAGAGATCGTAGTGACGGAGGTCAGTAAAGGACCGGTCGAGGGCGGCGGCAGCGCCGATTACGAGCAGCATCTGGACATTCCGCCCTTACCGCCGTCGAACCTCGCCAACTGCGGCATTATCGATCTCGAGTACAATCTGAAAGTGGAGGCGTGCGTCGAAGGATGGTTAGTCGGTTGGGCCGTTTCCGCCATTCGCCAAGTAGCCAAGTATCTCTCACTACCATCATCGACCCTGCCGCACTGACCTTATCACGTTCGCATCACCATCGCATGACCATCACGACTCGGCCCTGTCTTACCTTGATTCATCGTCCGCTTTATCACCGCTATTATGCGCCTTCATTCGCTCGAGACGTGCGCTCTGTAAGCCCGTATGTACTCCCGCAGGTATCATCGGAACCTATCCGACAAGACTCTTATCTTCGTGGGCACGGTTCCGCTGGCCGCTTACCACACCCCGAGCGCTCCACCTGCCGCTGATGTGGCCGCTGCTGATGCTCCGACGAAGCCGCCAGCAGCCGGCTTCGTCGTACCTTCGGCCAACAAGGCGCTGCCTCCGCTGCCGGAATCTCAACTGTATCCGAACTTACGTAAGTATCAGGTGACGCGACGACCAGTAACGTATCCTCGCGCGCAGGCGGCCTCGGGCACTTCCTGACGGTCTCTCTCAGCGAGAAGCTATCCTGCTGTTTCTCACCTGAGGATTGATCGTCGTCCAAGCTACCTTGTCTTTCAAAACATCCCCTTTCTTCATCCCATCCCTTCAGTCTCGACCACCGCTCGAACGCGGACGTCTGCGCTTATGGGAGAGCGCTTTGTTTCTAGATGGTAAGCTTTTAAGAAATTAGAGCTCTTTGCGACGCGCAGCAATGATGTCAATTTGTCTTTCAGCTCCGCCATCCTTCGAGGAGTCGGTTTACGGCGCCAGAAATCTCCGCGAACGCGGGGAGTCGGAATACGTCTACGGTTTAGCCAATCGCTTCGCACCGAAATACCCGGTTTATAATTTCGCACCAGCACAGTAATGAGTGAGAAGAAAAGAGAGAGAGAGAGAGAGAGAGAGAGAGAGAGAAGAAGAAGAAGAAGAAAAAGAAGAAGAGGAGGAGGAGAAAACAGAGGGAGATTGCTGTCTTGAGATGAATTTTGATAAAAATTATTTCGAAGCTCGCATTATACGTCCTCTTGGCCCACTCGCCGACGAAAAATCTCAGAAAATACGGGATTCGTCTTAGAAAGTACGTGGATTCGCGAGGCATCCGTATGCAGCCTCAAGTGGTCAAGTGCTCTTGATCGATGCTTAAGCGACATGTGATTTGAAACGCACAATTTGTAGCACACATGATAGAGTTACACAAACAAACGCCTTTTCTACCTGGCATTTATATTTTTTTACGCGTATCGTTGCGAGATCGCGAGAGAGGAAGAGAGAGAGAGAGAGAGAGAGAGAGAGAGAGAGAGCAACGAATAGCGGCCAAATTCCTTTCGCCTCGCGGTACGACGTCGTTTACATTACAAAATCGCGTACACACGATGGAATTTATACACGCAAACACGCGCGCAAACAAGTGCATCGTATCGCGAGGCGAGGACTTGAGCCCGACGGTCATTGCGTCGACGATTTGCGAGCGCTCGTTTCCCAGAGCAACGCTATATGTAAATGCATTGTACTCAAGTATCGCTCCATGTAGCCTAAGTGAGAACAGAAAATATATACATTTTTAAGATTTTAAGGTAACGAGCAGGACGAATTTTATTACGACTGGCGATGTCTTCACTTCCCGAGCGAGTGAAAACGTGATGTCGGCGTGTTAACGATACCGCGTCAGATCGGCCGCTTTTTCGCGTCGTGTCGAAGCAACGAAGTCGTCGTGTTTGATGGACTCTTTGCGAGCAATCATGACCGCGGGAGGTGGAACCGCGTAGCTGAATTCACACAACCGTGACGTATCCGCGACTCGCGCACTCGATAACGCTCGCGTCTGGGAAGTTAACGCGCCGCACGCTACTTTTTTTCCCCCGTGCAACTTTCGCGGAGATAACGAGCGCGCCGATTATCGGGCCGAGATCGAATGCATACGGTACGTCGCATTTATCTTTCGTATCTCGACACGGTACGTCTCGATTTCGCGCTACCGACCACGTCCCTACTTTTTCACCGCGTCACGCGCGACATTATCTCAATCGGAACACGGATCTCTGGCCATCGTTCGCGCGCGCTAATAAAATCTCAAGGCGTTTAAGCGACGTTGATGAATACGGCCGTATAAAGTTCGTCGGGCGAAAGGGCGCGCCGATAGTAATGAAGTCGGCGCGACCTGAGATCGTATCGGGTCGACTGCAGAAGAGCCTTTGAGGATGGCGTATCCTCGCCGCTTCGGAGATATCCTGTGCGCACACGGGAACGATTCTCGCACTTTCGCCGGTAGTTTTCATCCCGATCGTGTTTTCGTGAGCAACGTGCGTTATCGCGCACGTCAAAGTCCCTCGAAGCGTCCATCCCTTTCCGGCTGGCGTCTTTCTCAACCTAATCGTCTCAATTAGCGCCGCTTCTAGTTAAGGACGAAGGTTTAATTTCGATTTATCGATCGGGTGCCGTGATACGAGTCCGTGTTAACGCCACTTGGACTCTAAGCGGACGTAGACCACGACGGTGGAATGAATATTTATTCGCAATTAATCTTCGACTAGAAGTGCACGGTCGCGCGCGGCTTGGCGGTTGCACGTGAAGCGGATGGAATCTGTTTGTAGAGCTATTTCGGCGTTTACCGAAAAGCGAACTATCACGTAAGGCAATCGTACATCATGCAACGCTCCCTCGTATCATCATCGTCTGACACCTACGAGGCGAAGGAAAAGTAGTGGCGGAAGAGATACGTCATAAAGACACGCCGATGAGGGTTCGCGTCAAAGTCGCCGATACAAAGTATCGATTGAACAGTTTCTCATACAGACTTGAGAGACAAGCTGAGAAGGAACTCGCGACTGAGAAATTTCGCGAGCTTCCGTCCGCAAAAAGCACCTCAACGAGGTGCTCTGCTACCCCGGCACGGCACGGTCGACCATCGCGGCAAGAATTATAGCAGAGCGTCCGCACGAAGCACCTGATCGATGATGTTAGCGGTATCACTGGACTCGGTCTCGCGACCTTGGGGGCGCGAAATGAAATATTTGTGAACAGCGGTGATCTAACTTTTCGCGGATGCTCAATCAGCGCGGCGGAACCGGCGGTCGCGAGGCGAGCCGCGGCGATTGCATTCGCGTGTAATCCACCGCGTCGCGATCGAACGAAATCGTCTCACGTGCTCGCGCACGCTCGTCATCGCCACGATAGTGATCCCCGTGCGTTTCACGACGTTATTTCGCGACGGGTGTGTGTGTGTGTGTGTGTGTGCGTGTGTGCATACGCGGTACACACGTAACGATTTTTTACATCATTCATGGCTCTCGGGCGGATTTCGCTGGCGATGGGCGAATTGATTACGCTCGTGATTGTGGCGCGACGTGCAATTTTCATTGCGCATTATCGACGAGGCAATATTTACGCGAATTATCTCGCGACTAGCCCGACGTGCCGGGTGATAATATTGCATACGTCGCAGCTCTCGCACTGAGTACGCCGTGGGCGCCCTTACACGCTGTCAATTACGTAAGCGGCGATGTAGCGGGCACCGGTATAGACTTTTCTATGACGAGTCGCCGTTCCACGCCCGCTCGACTCGCGCGCGGAATGTCCGTCTGGTGGAACTTCGACCCTGCTAATGTGCGTCGTCGCGATAAGGTAACGCGACGACGAGCAAGCAAAGTGTTCGCCTGATTGCTGCCCCTCGCTCTTCGGTCTTCGGTCTTCTGCAGGAAGAAAAGAGAACCGGGGATTACGTAACCGCGCGCTGAGTCGAAATTGAGTAAACCCCGACAGGGGGTATCATCCATCACCGTTCCGCAGCGCGTCCAATTATGCTCCCTTCCGATATCGTGACTGACGTGAATCGTAATAATAGGCTTAATGGGATTCTGCGTTTAAAGCGCTCGCTCGCGATCGTTTCAGCGTCTTCTCTCTCCCTCTCTCTCCCCCTCCCTCCCTCCCTCTCTCTCTCTCTCTCTCTCTCTCTCTCTCTCTCACGGCAGATACGCACGAGGCAACGAGGACCCGCGACGACGGGGTTGCCGATGAAGGAGAGGCGAGCACGGACTTCCGTGCGCGCCGAATTTCCCGACGAATTTTATTTTCAGCGAGCGATGCGACGAGCAAGACGACGAGCAAGAGCGGCGTTCTCTCGCGCGTTCCGCCGCGCTACCAAGGCTGTGGCATAGAACAAAACTTTACTTCCAAAGTGACGAGGTCGCGGCGGACTGTGCACGCCTGTCTGCCGCGCGCCGTTTCGACCTCGTCGACGATCGATAATTCAAACCGTATCGATAAGCGGAAACGTCTCGCGCGCGCGCTGCGAATTTAACGCTGTGCGACGCTGGGTGACGTCACGTTCATCCTCGGCTTCGCTCGGTGTCCTCGTAATCAGCGAAACGCCGTCGCACGGCCGGTCTATAATCAGCGCGCACTGCCGTCCGCCAGTTTATAGCCAGGACTCGGCGAGGCGGCTGTACACACGCGGCGGTTGCAACAGCCCGGGACAACGGCGAAGGTTGGCATTCAAACCCGCCGCCCGCGCCGGGGGGTGGTTACCCGTGGCGTGGAACCACCGTACAAGTTGGTCAGCCTGTTCACCACGTAGATTCAGCGCACGAGCAACGGGTGAGCGCCATCAGAGAGGGGTTGAAAGTGCGCTGTATAATACGCCCCTGATGTGTACGTGGCTCTGTCGAGCGAGCACCAAGCTCGTTTTCGAGAGGGCAGACAAGAGGGCTGCGGACCCCTGCGAATTGGCGTGAATTTTTGCAAAATTTCATCCACCGTCTCGCCGTGCCACGTGCCTCGCGAGGAGGACACTCTCGCTCTCGCTACTCTCTCGAGTCGTACTCGTCGTCGTACATGACCTATCGAATCCTACCTACCTACCTACCTACCTACCCGCCGTTAGTCCCTGACGGTCTTGCTGCACGGCGCGACCTGCTGCTGATCGCGGGGGATCGCGGTGAAGGGAGAGAAGAGGGAAGAGAAGAGACAAGCGCGACCAGAGACCTGGAGGATTCTCCACTGACGAATGAATCCCGTATATGTCAGGCTCGATGGTCGAACCCCCGTTCGCGACACCCTTTGCCGCGGGCTGCGTGCCGGCACGTGCGCGGTGCGCCGAGGCGCGCGTGCTACACCTCCTGTCAGACTCGCTCGTCCGTCGCGCCGCAGGACGACTACCCTCCTGTGGGGCCGTGGAAAACAGTGGAAAAGCCGGAGCCGATGCCGTCGCGTCCGCTTCGTACTCCGTGACCGCTCGGCGACAGCGACAGTCAGCATCAGCGGCAGCGGCGGCAACAGCACTCTCCTCGAGCACCTCGGACGCAGTCCCGCGGACTGTCTCGTTGGCGGACGACACGCGGAGAGAAGTTCGCGAAGGGCGGCACACGTGTTCGCGTGAGCGAAGGAACCGACGTCGAGTCGGGTAAAGAAGCAGTCACAGACAGCGCGCCGTATTCTTCTTTCTTTCACTCTCTCTCTCTCTCTCTCTCTCTCTCTCTCTCTCTCTCTCTCTCTCTCTCTCTCTCTCTCTCTCTCTCTCTCTCTCTCTCTCTCCCCCCCCTCTCTCTCTCCGCCTCTCTCTTTCTTTCTTCCCGTCTCTCTCTCTCTCTCTCTCTCTCTCTCTCTCTCTCTCTCTCTCTCTCTCTCTCTCTCTCTCTCTCTCTCTCTCTCTCTCTCTCTTTCTCTTCTTTCGTACAAAGTTCCGCGGTCACGTGTCAAGAACAAGAGGCACGTGTCGTTTTACAAGCGTATAAGACACGCGATTAACACACGAGGTCGCGCTCGTTATCGGCTCGCCGTCGTCGCTATCGCCGTCGTTATCGCGCTCGAGGAGAGTCGCGTCGAGGCAGGAAGCGTCGCCGCTGACACGCGCGCGCGGGGAACACACACGGAGTGGAGAAGTCGACGTCGCCGACGCTCGCTCGCTCGCTCGCTCGCTCGGCCGGCGACGACAGGACAGACCAGGCCAGGACAGGACAAGACGGGCGGAATCGATGCCGCGAGTCGGGAGCGCGAGGGCCGAGCAGTCAACACGCGACAGCATCGTCCGGAGTCCTGCGACGCGCCGTCGTGCCTGAGCGACGACGCTGCTGTGCGGTGCCAGCCCCGCGAGGACGAGGACGCGTTTCCTGGAGCGCCGCGCGACAGCCGGGACCATCTTGGTTCCTTTTGCAACAGGTACGACTCTGTGTGATCGACACTCGGACTCGCTCCGCGACGCGAAGCCGACATCGGACGAATCGCTCGCTGCGAGTGCAGCGATATCTCGTCACTCTCGATCTCTTGAGGCGGTAGTGATGGGGTAGTGATCAGGAGGGTGGAAGGCGCGAGGGTGAAAGCGGCGACACGTTCGGTGACGGATCGTCCTCCGAAGCAAAGTCCTGCTTTTCTCCGGCGGCAAGCCTCGCTGCTCGCGCTCGTCGAAGATCGATTTCGCCTCGTCACAACCTAGTGACAAATGTCGCGACGACGCTACTAAGTACTCGACGATCGAGCGTAAAAGTTGAAGTGGTTGCTTCAACCTGCCCGTATGTAGTATGCTTCTCCGGGGATTAGTAGAGACAGCCGCGCGCCGGCCTAGGCGATCGCGAGGTCGCCTCTTCCCGCGGAGTCTCCCTCAGTAAGCGAGGATTAAAGTACTCCGCGCCGATCGGCTCGCGCTTTTAGCTCGCGCGAGTTACGAGAGACGTTACGAACCTCCTCCCTCGGAGGATCCTCGTTCCTCGGGAACCCGTCAGCGCGGTCAATTCCTCTCGCGAGATCCCTCCTCGCCTGCTCCCCGCCGACGCGACGTTGCGAGGTAGCCGTCGCTGGGAAGAAAGACAACGCGTGCACGTGAAAGCGCCCTGAAAGCGCGAAGCTCGCGTGGATAATTCGCGCTCGCGCGCCCCTTCGGCCGAACTAATCTCCAATCATTGATCATCACGAACGTTTTACCGAAACAGCATGACGAAACGTTTCTCCTCGTGACTCACGCCACGCGATGCGCGCCGGACGAATCGCTCGGCGAAAGAATCGTGGCGTGAGTAACGACCGCGCGCTTCTCGCCCCGCTGTGTGCCGGTCGCCATTTAAAAAGATAATTAACGCTGAACAGAATCCTCCCGAGGGAACGGCTTGTTTTATTTCAGCTGACAGCACGCGTCGAAGTGAGTGATTCGCGCCGTGCGATAAGATTGTCCGTGTTCTTGGCTTTTTAATTACCGATTGTTATCAATCCTTCGCGCGGGGGAGTCTTCATCCCAGCGGAGTAATTGCGCGCCGGGTTTAACCTCCAGCGTGGAAATTGGCCGGCTCTCGGCCGACTGGGAGAGACTTACATCGGCGGCTCTCGCGATACGCGTCGCGTGTTATTTCACGCGAGCGTTATCTTCACGCCGATCGTATTCACGTGCTCGGGTCTTGGCGGATTCGCTAATTTCGCGCGACGAATCGTGTGTGTTTGTTGCGCGCGCGCGCGCGCGTGTGTGTGTGCGTGTATGTGTTTGCAAAGCGGAAGGGAAACACGAAACTGACATCGCTCTCGGAGAACAATCGGTCGCTCGCCAATGCGAGAGCAACTTGTCCGCAAACTCGCTATTTCCAGCGGTTCTCGCGTTATTTACCCTTCGTAGCGAGCGAGCGAGCGAGCGACATCCATTTGCCAGCGCAGTCGGCGCGCTTCGCTTTGTACACCTTAATAATATTCGCTAATTACGTATCGATCCCCCGTCGAACATTCGCATTATTCTCCCGTCGCGACCGTCATCGTGTAACGGATGATCCGCTCGCGCGAACCACGCTGGAACTTTCTACTTTGTCGCATCCGCCGACTCGCCGACTGACGAGTCTTGTTGTCACGGAAATGAAGATATGAAGATGCCCTCCCTCTCTCTCTCTCTCTCTCTCTCTCTCTCTCTGTCTCTCTCTCTCTGTCTCTCTCTTCGCGCGAGATAACGAAGTGGCCGCACTCGTCCTGTCTTCCGTCCTCCACTCTCGTCTCGTCTCTTCGACTGACTCCTTTGTCGTTGGTAAGATCAAGTCGCAGATTAGCCCACTTTCCGCGTTGTTCCGCAGCTTTGTCGCTCCCGCGACAAAGGAGGAGGACGTAATTACATATTATTCTTTTGGACACGACGCGCACTCTGAAGGAGACGCCGCGAGGACGAGCAGCTTTCGAGCTCCGGTTGCTTTGCATTAATGATGATTGCCGCGCGACTCGCGCTGAAAATCGCAAGTCCCATCGCGAGGTTACCGCTCGTGCCGAAGTACGCGCGGCGTACGAGATACGCGGCTCTCGCGCGGAACTCATTTGGAAAGCCCCGCGAAGAATTCGCGGAATAACGAGCGGTGCGCGCGACGGAAGGACGTAGTCTCGTGTCGGATAAGAGATCAGTGATTAGCATGATAATCGCTCGTCGAGCATCGGCGTACAGCGACATAATGTCTCGTCATGGGTCACCGAAAAATATCACGCGCACGCGAGCGGAGCGAGCGAGAAAGGGCAGAGTGTCACGCGATATTATATGTCGCTGAGAGATAGGGGCGTAAGTATGGCCGCTCTCTCTCTCTCTCTCTCTCTCTCTCTCTCTCTCTGCGGCGCACGACATTGATTCTTAAATATCAATTTTCAATGGCCGATTTCAAGGCGCTCCGTCGCGCGGCCACACCTTTCCGCCGTGAAAACGCGTCTGATACAAAAAGGGTGAATTTACCGAATGAGGTCGCCGCGCGCAGCTTGCCACACGAGTCGTATACAATTTTATATCGGCTCTGGCTGAGCGGCGAGCGAGTTGTTTTCGAAAGCGATGTGATTTAACGCGGGGCTTGCATTTCGCAAGCGAGTCACTGCTGCGTAAGGGAATGCATTTTTCGTACGTTCTTATGAGCTTATTTCCGGCTCCATCTTCTTCGATATCGTTTCCTAAAGATTCACTTCTGCATCAGTTGAGAGGATATTTAAAACTTACTAAATTAACTCGTGTTCCTCTCGTTGTTCACCGCACAAAGATTCAGTTTTTTCTCTTCTTCTTCTTCTTCTTCTTTCTTTTTTCTCTTTTTTTTTCTAATTGGCGCAATTTGCATTTCTCCCCCTCCGTCTCTTGGAAATTGTGTCAGTGCAGTAATTTAATCACCGCAACTTGTACGTCCATTCGCGTGGAAATTTCACTCGTTGGATGTTACAGTCTGTCCGGGCCGACGTCGAGCACATCCTTATGGTTGTAGCTCGATACACTACCACGAGCCTCAATATCGTCGCGCCCGACCGACGAGTCGTTTTACGTTGTACTTCTTACGACGCGCCTTATCCACTTTCGTCAAATTACGAAAAAAAACTAAACGACGCTTCGAGTGGCGCGATGATTAATGTACGTTCGATAAACGACGTCGGCCGACGGATTGGAGCGAGAAGGACGTCTGTATACTCGAAACGGCAATTTGGCAGGTTTATCGCGAATAAGAGGCGCGCGATGACGCCGAGTGAAAGTGCCAAACCGCCGAGAGAGAGAGAGAGAGAGAGAGAGAGAGAGAGAGAGAGCGAGAGAGAGAAAGGTCGGAGGAACCTTTAATCGCAGACTAACATAGTTAAATCTGGAACGGCGCGAAGGGGATGGCCGTGTTCTTTCGCTCGCGTCTTCGCTCAAGCCCGAAGCAATATCTCCGCCGATTCCGAACCGAAGAGAAAAAAGAGCCCTCAAAGGAGACTGTTACTGCTGTGTTTCTCAACAAGTTTCTTCGAAACGACGGTTTCAAAGAGACAGTTATTGAGATTATTTTCATCGAACGAAACATCGAGCAGAAATCCCTGAGAAACATCCCGCGCGCGAGTGAATGTCCTTTCGAGCGACTTGCGCGGAATTTAATACGTATTGTATGATCTATAAATAGCACAATGCGTATTTGTCAGAAGGATCTGTAAAGTTCTTCCCGAATGATTTCCCTGTCGCGAGACAACGACCAGACCGAAGTGGGAAGGAGGGGCGGGGGATTTTTCTTCGGACTCAGTTGGGATCGAATTTTCCTCGGTCGAGACATCCGAGAGTCAGCAGCTTTCGAGAACATGGAGAAAGCCCGGATTAGCGAAGCTGTTGAGTGACTGACGAGTACTATAGGTGACAACTTTTACGCAGCTTGTATACCGTAACAACGGATCAATTCATGCATTAAAAGTTTAACTGACCTGTTCTTTATCGCTGCCCACCTTGCACTAGTTTGCACCGGCGGCGCCCTTCTCCTCTCTCTTCCACCAAATCTCAGCTATACATCTATCTTTCTTCAAGTTCCGCAACACCAGTCTGGCGATAAAGAACCGATCTTTTGTGCGTTGCGCACATGTGTGTGTACGCGCGCGCGTGCGCGCGTGTGTGTCCATCCATCAGAAGTGATTTCTTCGCCCCGCAAAAAGCAGCAGAAGTACAGTCTCGCCGAGTCGATATCGATTCGACGCCTTTTACGAGTTATGACAAAATGTTTTTTTCGGTGACGTGTCGTGCAGTTCCATTTAACACGCGAGTGCTCTTAATGCGATGCCCTTCAAAGATACCGCCGCTCGCCAGACGAATTTTAATCAACGTTTACGGAGCCGCACGTTTCACGCTCGCGATATTCGTTACGTCTCGCACGCTCATCTCGCACACATCTCGAGGCTTAATTTCCTCTCTTTCCTTCTTTCCTTCCTTCTTATGCAAGACCAAATCGAATCGAAGAGACCCGAGACACACCGGGAGCACAGCTAGACGTTGGATCTCCATCTTAACGAGAAACAGCTAAAGATAGCAGCGAAGACGAACGACCGGTCGAATGATGCAAGAATAACGACACGACCGCGACTAAACGCATCTCATTTCCGCGGCCTGCGAGCGACGTAGCCTCGCTGGGAAGGTGAGTGACGTGAAGGTGATCAGAAGTTGCTAATGGCAGCGAGAATTTGTTTCGTCAACGTCGTTATTCGGTACATTCGGTAACGTCGTCTCGCAATCATCTAATAGCGCGATGAATTTTCATTCGAATTTGGGGCTGGCGCTTCCTCCGCGATTACGGCCGACATGTTTCACGTACGAGGAGCGATCGTGGAGAGCCTCACCTCGCCTCGTCTCGCGCGATACCTCGCGCGTCTCCTTCACCGAAATCATCGCACGTGAGCGGCCGATGAATTATTAATCCCGCACGCTACTCTTTTTCTGACAAAATATAGGTGGAAGAGGGGTACGAGACCCCGGGATTAAGGCTTACGGCCGTTCCGGGCTGGCGCGTTTCGCGTCCAGAAATTCTGCTCAGGCACCTTGATAAATAACCCTCGTTTGAGCGGGGAAAAAGAAACCGCTCAATCGCTCGCTCGCTCGCTCGCGCAGACGTACGTTTGCGCCGAAAGTGATTTATGTAAGCGGTAAGTCTCTCTCGCGTCAACCTCCCGTAAACTTTCGATTAACCGGACAATCGGGAGCCGCCGCGAAGTTGCGGGCTCGCCTTGAGCATAAAATATGCGAGACCGGTCCGTGCAAAATGCGCATTAAACGGCACGGAACAGCCAAATCGACTGCAAACGACTTTGTCGCCGATCATAAATCATCCCGAGTGGATTTGATAATTTCGGGCTGAGCGCAAAAGGGCCATCTCGATAAGTCGAGCAGCGAGAACGGAGAGAGGAGAGGTAGCACGCAGCGCGCGTGATTCGTGTTCTTTTACATTGTAAAAAATCACTCGCCGGGAGATATATCTCCGGTGTGCGACGCGAACGATGTGTATTTCGCTCGGTACCACGTAACTTGTTAGCGACGACAGCCAGCCGGCCGACCAGCAGGTCGACAGGGTGGTGAAAAGTTGTGTTGGGGAAAAAAATGGAAGGAGATAAATATCGCAGAACGCGATAATACATCGATGTCGCGGTCGGGGGGCGAGATCGGCCCGCGAATCGCGCGTCTATACAGGCAACTATATAATTCTTGCGAACTAAACCCACACTGACGGTCGAGACACGTCGAGACTATCGATCTACGATATTATACGCACACGAATGTATACCGTAAGCAAACACCGGCTACGCGCTCGGTTTAACACCCGTGTGCGTATATATCGCGGACAAATAACGCGGAAAACGAAGCTCTTTTCGATCTCCCCGAGAGGAAGAGCGAGCGAGAGAGAAGGAAAAAGAGAGCTCGGGAAATATTTGAAAAGTGGCCATCTCTCTCTCTCTCTCTCTCTCTCTCTCTCTCTCATCGAGAGGTTAATTTCACTCTCTACGAGTTCGGTGAAAAACCGATGCGCCATCTGTGACGGCTTGATCGCGTCACACTTCTTGCGTGATCATTTTTCTATCTGACGGCGTCAAACGATTATTCTGCCGTTGAAAAAGCGAGATTGAATTATTATTCGTCGGGGGGGGGGGGGCACGAAGTGGTGAGATCCCTCGTCGAGCTTCGAGCGGCTCGTTTAGTATGCATCTCGGCATTGCCCTATCAATATAACGGTGGACTTTTTTTTTTCCCTCAACAGGGCGGGAAGAGGCGGTGACCGACGGAGCTCTACTGACGCAAGTTGGAGAATCGTTCGACCTTAGTGACCTGGGTATGGTCTTAGCAACGACGGCGGGGCGATGACGCTCAACCACCGTCCGCCGTCATCAGCAGGAGTCCCTCAGGACTCACCCAGCTTCCCGGCCCCGGTCCCAATCCCGATCCCGATCCCGATCCCGAAGCCAATCTCGGACAATAGCCGCTGCTCGAGGCGGAACGTCGTAAAAACGCGAGCGAGTGTTACAGCCGGCAGGAGGTATGAGAGATCGCTCTCATCATTACCGAGATCATCACGGACACGCCATGCCCCTCGAGGAGGTTCAAGGGTTGTTACTTCCACCCTCCAGAACAGGTGAGTCGTCCCTCTTGTCGCGACAGAGACCTGCCACGCGTCCTCGCCCGCCGCGCCGTGAAGACGCCGTGAAGTCCGGAGCTGCGCGCACATTTTCAGCAACGCGACGTTGTTGAGGACGGCTCGAGATTCACGGTGCGATCCTTTCAACTGGGAAAAACACGCACACACGTAGAGGAGGAGCCGCGAGATCCTGCGCGTCCTCCGATCGTTGTGCGATAATTTGGTCGTCGTTGGTCCGCACGAAACACGCGGCTTTTTCGCGCGCGATTTGCGGGAAAACGGGATCGCCTGCGAAATTAACGAAGCGCCTGCAGTGTCACGCGCCCTAAGGCGAATCGCTAAATCAATAAATGTTGCAGCGGCCGATCGTGCGTCGAATTATCGCGCGAACGAAGCGCGCGGCCGGCCGAGGAAGCCGGCCTTAGAGCGCCTCGTCCCGTTAAACGGATTCAATTTTAGCTCGGCTTACTCGAGGATGAGGCAAATGACACGGGGGTTAATTACCACTTAGTGACATCCCTGCGAAGTACCGCTGATCCCTATCTCGCGCAGCCTCTCAACTCGCGACCCTCTGCCATCTCCTAATGATAATTTTGCACAACACAGCACTGTCGACCTGCCGCGCGATGTCACACGCGTAATTAGTAAAAAAATTCGCCAACTAAAACGGCCGAGCGGTGAAATCTGCATTTTTTGATTAAGCTCCGATTTGAAGAAGACTCGCGCTTTTTATACGGATTCTCCTCGAGAGATTCTCCTACGTTTGCCTGGTCGTCGATCGCATGGGCGATTAATATTTAGCGTTCTCGCTAACATCGACGCGTCGCTGAATTTTAAATGATGTTTACGCGACCTTTGTTCTTTGCCTTTCTCTCTCTCTCTCTCTCTCTCTCTCTCTCTCTCTCCTTCTCTCTGTCTTCCTCTCCGAATAAAAGCCTCTCGCGGATCCTTTCTCGCCCAATTAGAGTGCGCTCCGCGAACCCGTTATGAATAAGCGGCGGCGACTTAATTACCCCATCTAGCGTTCAGTCGTTTGTTTTTAACGGGCAATGCCTTCATCACGGTCTCTCTTTCTCTCTCTTTTTCACGCCAGGTAACCGGGGACCTCTGAATGTGACGATTGTACAGGTCGGCCGAGGAAATGGAGGCGGTGAGGATGGCGGAAGTGATTTACTGAGATTGGAGCCGCCGTCGGATTTAAGACCGGCACCGTCACCCCTATCTGACACCAGTGCTACCTTGCAGTCTGACAACAATGACACCCTAGCCGGAGGTGAGAAGTACACGCCACGTTACCGCGCTCCGAAAGCTCCGAAGCTCGCCGTTATCCACCTCGTCGCCGGCGCGGTTTTGACACCGGGACCGGTTTCTTACCTTTAATCCCGCCGAGAGAGTTGTCGGCGCGCTCATCTTGTCGAAGGATCAAGGCGTTCCACGGACGAAGGAGCAGCGAGCTGAACTTCGTTAGGCATTAATTCGATTGAAACGATACAAGACAAGCTATAAGACACTCGTCGAACATATCGACGTCCTGGGGAATCTGATATTTGCAGACCAGGAACGACGATTCGATTCGTATCGATTCTTTGGCAATTTAATTTCGTCGAGTCTTGTTCAGTAGAACGATCCGCTCATCGCAGATTCTCAAGTGTCCTTTCGCCTGGGAAAATAGTTTCCTCTTCCGTAAATCGCGTACAGAGATTCTTGCTGCGATCGCAATCTCGGCAGAGAATTTTCGACGGGCAGACCAGCCGTGTCGAATGCAGAATACGCGAGATTCGCTCAAGTGCTGCGAGTGAACATCCCAACCGGCCCGTGACGTGACAGGATATTATCCCGCATTCTCTTTCCATTTTTGAGATTATTTCGTTGAGAGCGTCGCGGTTATATTTATTTACAAAAAATTGAATAAAGTATCACATCACCGTCCCGAGTCGGACGCGACTGATGCACCATTTGCCGCGCGGCGTCGTTAATCACACTTTTTCGGGCTGCCTCCACGTGTGTGTGTGTGTGTGTGTGTGTGTGTGTGCGCGTCCCTTAAATATTGAAGCGATCGAACTTCGTTCACTCTCGGTCGGCGGTGAGCCGCGTGACGTCATATCCCGCCACCGGAAGCGTTTCAACGGCGAGCTTTCGGTTACAGGCAGTTTGTCGAGGCAACGGCGAGAGAAAGAGCGCGGGATCGAAAATAGAGCGGCGAAAAAGCCGATAATGGAGAGATCCCTCGGACGACGACAGTTCCGAACATTTAGCCGGCACAAGAGAACGTTTTCAACAAATTCCCAGGTGTCGATCCAAGATTGTTGCTGGGGACCGGTGGCGACCGCAGCACTTGGGAAGGACGTTACCACGTGAAGGAACACCGGCGTGCTGGAAAAGCTACCTTCCAGGGTCAAGTTTACAATTTCCTGGAGCGTCCCACCGGCTGGAAGTGCTTCCTATATCACTTCTCTGTGTAAGTAGCCACGATTTTTCACGCACGTGCACGTGACTCGGCCGGGCTTTCCCTCAAAGGCACTCGCGGCGATAACATCGCACGTGCGCGGGCACCCTCACTTTGGCCGGCGTAGCAAACCCCCCCTTCCCCCTCCCTGCCGAAAACCCTAATCCCGCCACGGGCAAGGCAAATAAGTGAGAAAGATGCTCACGATGTATCAAACGGACAGAATATCTGTCACGAGCCTGCCTCGCAGAGTGTAACTTTGGGATTCTCCGCTTTTCACCGTGTAACTGATTCAACGGTCAGAGCGACGTATCCTCCGCTCAACGACTTTTTTCTCCGTCTCTCTCTCTCTCTCTCTCTCTCTCTCTTTTGTGAAAATAAAATAAAACATTTTAAGCGTATATACGTGTGCATCGCACTCACGCGCAAGCGCGCGCGCGCTTTATCGGCCGCCCGCCACGCACAATACGTCAAAGGAAAATTAACGCACTTGACGGCGCCGTGCGACATCAATCTCTATCGTCACTTAATAAATATTATTTAATACGCTTCTCGAAAGATTGATGGCAGTTCCGAAATATACATCTCCCTCCACCGCCGCCGCCGCCGCCGCCGCCGCCGCCGCCGCCGCGGCGTGTGTGTGATTAATAATGTATAATGCGATAAAGTATATGGCGATTAATATGTATAAGTTTATTCAAGATAAAGCCGGCGCTTAGAGGCCGGTCTTCGTCGTAATCGTTAATTAAAAGTCCCTCCTTTGAGCGACGCACGAGCGAAAGAACGAGCGGGCAAAAAATTATTAAGTCCCTCGTAAACAACCGAGCGGGGACGAGCGTGCGCGCTTCGCGATGGCACCCGCCATCCGCAAAACGGACAGACACCCTCCTGCTCCTCCTCGCAGCCGCGTTCTCGTTGCGTAATTCAAGCTCGCGAAACGGACGAACGAGCGAGCGTGCGGTGCGGGTTAGCACGAAAAGAAAAGTTACGGCAAAGTCGTAAACTGCAAAGTCGGCCGCGACACAATAATTTCATACGTCCGCGAGCGATATTTTTTTCAGATCACGACTCACGCGGCCGGGACGCGGCAGAGCGAAAGAGCGCGCGATTGTTTATTAGAAATTTTGATGTGACGAGCGGAATATCTATCTGTCCGTCCGTGTATACGCGAGAGGGGCGCTTTATGATCCCCCGGGGCATTCTCCGTCGGGGCACACGCGTCGATAAATAATAAGGCTTTATCGTGACGTACGTTCGATAGGGGACGGCTGCTTATCGGAACTCTCATCGCGCGATGTCCCAAGGAGGAACACTTCGCCTTATCAACTATGACTTTCCGCTACGAGCCTTTCTCATCGCGACACGTATCGGGCTCGCGACACGTCGTCGGCCGCACCATGTCCGCAGACACGCGACACGCAGCAAAAAATGTCGGCCGTCGGAGGTCCTTCCGGGTCCGCGAGACTCCAACCGACGCGGGCGTCGGTTCGCTCTTGGCGAAAAGTCGAACGCGCCCTTAAGCGGGGCATTTTTACACAGCTCACGTAGCTTAGCTTCGATGCGCACAGATGGCGGAGCCCATACCGCTATTCACTACTCGGCCTGATCAATATTCGCATTCTACCACTTAGCCAGCGAGCGTGCGAGAAAGAGCGCGACTGTAAAGAGCGCCGCTCTCAAACCGCGCGAGAAAGGCCGGACGCGTCGCGCGCGCGAGCTGGCAGTGAAATCCCCGGCGAGACAGCGAAACGCTCTTTTCCTCGGAGCGCAAGCCGTGCAAGGAGCAGCCGTATCCGAGGCCACTGACGGCGGTCTGCGCAATCCACGAGCAGCTCTCGATACGCGTCCGCGATTACGTCCGGCCGGATCGTGTCCTCAGGAGCCGCGTTATCGCGGTGATAGCGAGTGTTTCCTTTTTATTACGTCGCCTTTTATTACGTACCCGAGAACGACGCGTACATGGTAGTACATTGGAAAAGACATTGATCGCGAGGTCCTTCGAAGGAACGCGTTACCGTCGCGCGAGGAAAGACAAGAGAAGGATACCGCCGGGCAGGCGGTCGGGCAGGATTCCGTCCCGGCAACCCTCCGGCCACGAAATCACCCTCCCGAGATGCGTGCGACGGGGATGAATTCGTCCACGAGGACGATACGTGCGTGTCTCGCTCGCTGGGTCACGAGGTCAGCCTCGTCCACCTGTCGCGGGCTCGCCAGCTTCCCGCTCGTTGCCCGCCCCGAAGCCGAAGCCGGAGCCGAAGCAATTTTCCCCATCGGGAAGTACGAGAAGCGTTCTTCTTCTTTCAGCTCGCTCGCGAAGTATCCCCTTACGTCGCGCGCGCTCGCTCGCGACACAGCCCGATAAATTCCCCCCGTTGTGGAAGTTGCCGCTGTGCAAACGCACTTTGGAAATAAGGCTTCGTATGCGCGCGTGCTCGCGGTCGCGTTCGCGTCCGCCAACTCCGTAGCAACTCAATTATTGATGTAACGAAGCCTACGATGCGCCCGCACGTGCTGCAAATCGAGCGCGATCACGGGGACGACTTCGCGCGCGCACGCGAGAGAGAGAGAGAGAGAGAGAGAGAGAGAGAAAAGTAGAAATATCCTCGTCGCGCACGCAAATAGCGCGCCGAGCCCATTCTCGTGTCGCGCGGCGTTTGCGCGTTTCCGCGCTGGCGGAATTCCGCAAGGAATACAAGCCGCCGGAAAAATGTGATTCCCCGAGTCGAAACGATCGCCTCGCGTGCGCCTACGTCTTGCTGATGGGCGGGAAAGGGCGGGCGGGATCCGAACGAGCTGAAAACTCGGATAAGACTCGGATAAGAGTTGGGCCGTTTCATAATTGAAGAGCGCGGTGATTTCGTGTTCTCCGTGAATCGCGTCATTCGGTAAGGCGGCCACGCGTGACGTCGTCGACCGCCGACGCGAGAAGGGCGGAGTAATGCGCTCGTATCGTCTCGATGTGCGCTGTAATTCCGCGACGAGTTCATCCGAACATGTCTCGTGGATTTGTTGTTGGAATTGTTCATTCCCTCTCTCTCTCTCTCTCTCTCTCTCTCTCTCTCTCTCTCTCTCTCGCTGTCTCTCTCTCTCTTTCTCTCTCTCCTTTTTTTCTCCTTTTATTCCTACATCGCCGTTTGTAAATCGCCTCGGAAAAGGAGGGGGGTTGCTTCGCGGTATTTCCTCGCGCGTATCTGGCGACTCGCAGCGACTTACGAGTCGCGCTATTTGCTGCTTACAGCCCGGACGCGAAGAGAGCGATGAATTGATCGTTGACTCTCCGAGTCGAAGGAGATTCCTCACGAGACGTCGAACACGCGGTCGGAAACAACGTAGATTTATCGTCCGGCGGTGCCGGACACGCGCGAAAGAAACGAGATCGTCGACGAGCCAGCCCCGGGGAGGGGACACACGCGATGCGGAAGGGGAACTTAACTACTAATATCGATTTTCTCACTTTTATAAATGCCACGGGCAGGTGGATACGGAGAACCCGCGGTGAGAATGAGTCCGCGTATTACTACACGCGGATGAATCCCCCTTACGGCGTATGCACGGCTCACAATTCTCCCTCTGCGTATACCGCGACGGGGATTTGCGGATCCCGTCAGCCCATTTCTTTCCGCGGCCGGGGCGGCCTCGAAAAATCGAGGCAGCCTCGAAAAATCGTGGGACCTCGCGGATGAAAAAGAACAAATTTTCATCAGAGACGGCGGAAATATCGCCTGGCGCTGCACACGCTCGCTCTCGATACAATCCAAGTGGAAAAAAATCTCCGACTCTTGCTCCTCTCTCTCTCTCTCTCTCTCTCTCTCGAGGACGATATAGGGTCGTCCGGGGAAATCAAAAACATGACAGTCCGTCATGCAGAATTTTATCGCCGCGAACGTTGCAATCTCTCGTTTGCGTTTCTCTTCCAGTGCGTTTTCGCACGCACTGAGAGGCGCAAGGCGAAGGTCCTGCGCCGGTATAAATGCGGAAATAGGACTCCGCTCGGCGGTGTAACAACGAACTCAGGCGCTAACAAATGAGTTTCCCTACTTTGTGATCGCCCGCGGTATCGAGCAACTCTCAAGCTGCAATCTCCTCTGTGCACGAAGCCCACGAATTCCGCATTGCAGTGGACGTGAGGCGCCGTTATATCTCTGACCGATGCGAAATCGACAAATGTCATTAATTGCAGCGGTCTTTCCTTCCTCTCGCAGTCATTGTGCCGCCATATGGCTATCCCGATGGTTTATCCGCAAAAGTACGTACCGCTGCGAACACGAAGCGAATTCGCCTCTCGGGGGATGCTGCTCGCGATTATTGTTATATCGACGGGTCGTGCGACGGGCCTCGTTAACAGCGAGGTATTGTCGGTTGCTTCTAACGAGGTCTCGACGACGACGAGAGTCGTTTGCTAAATAATACCCTGGTTTCTACAGCAAAGAGAAAAATTTCCCCGATTAAACACTCGGACGAACAACTTTACTCGGAATGCGATTGAGCGTAGACAGAGAGAGAGAGAGAGAGAGAGAGAGAGAGAGAGAGAGAGCTGAACAAAATTGAGGTCTCAAAATAAAATTTACGAGTTTCAGTGACGTTCTTTACGTGTGCGTCGCCACACATAGAGCGTTTAGCGCGCCGGTATTTGTTGGCACGAAACGCTCAGCCGCCACTTAAATGTCATTGTCTATCATAGTGTATACATGACATGCCGTATATGTCGCTGTAAATGCGATAAAGAGGCGAAAGGGGCTGTATCGATCAACGTGTTGAGCCGCCGCGACTGTGCCGATTGGAGAGACGCGACTCGACTCAATAGACCGACAGAGCTCCAATATCTCGCGCGAAAGAATTCGTCTCCCGCATCTGCGTCGCGTCGACGGCGCATAAAAGGGATGCACTTTGCACGCGCGTATGCCGAAACCTAGCCTACCTTCAAATCTCGCCGTTGCCTTTTGAAGCTCCATAATCCTTTATTGCGCGCCTCGTTCTGTCGTCAGACGTCCCGCTTTCGGGAAACCGTATTCTCTC